AACAACAACAACATGTCTGTGATATAAACAGTCTGAGTACTGAGTCCCAGCCCCTCTGGAATTAGGACAGCATCCCATTTCTTTCCTCACTTTATAATACATAGTCAATCCCTCTAATCACTTGGACCACTATCTCACCCCTACCTCTTCATAACACCAAAGGTATCTCTTGAAGCTAGTGATGTGTTTAGCACCTTCAGGTGGTACAAAAATAGAGCTGAAATTGCCACCAGCCCCAAACCATCTCAGGAGATGAAACTTGTTCAAAATTAACACAGGACAGAAGTATTGACTAGAAGCACCTACCAGCTAAAATAGTAACATGAAAAATCAAAATCAGTAGGTAGTATAAAACTAGGTACATATTTGTCTTTGGAGACATATTTTTATATGTATGAGGTTGCCTGGTTTCTTAAAAATTTAGATCTCCATCAAAATTAAGAAAATACAAAGTTCCCCAAAAAGCGTAGAAGCTTTTCTAAGCTTCCTCTTGCCATACCTCGCTCCACGCACCCTCCTACCATGGGTTTCTCTGCTCTAGGAATATGGCATCATTTCTGACATTTAAAGTGGTTTGTGGTCCAGATGGGCTGTTTCTACAAAATTGTCAGAGGTTTTCTCAAACAAGAGAAAAGCGGTTTTTTTTTTTGTTTGTTTGTTTGTTTGTTTGTTTATGATTTATCTCATAATTCCTGCTGAGTTATAATAAAAATAGATGTGTGCCAACAGAGTGCCTCAATGAGAAGGAATGAAATCTATGTACAGAAATTTAAACACAAGTTTTACAGAGGCTAATGTCAAAAACAGGGACCCTACACAGAACTAACCAGAGTTAAGTCTAAACTAGATGGACAAATACTGATTCCTCGTATTTCTCTAAAGTTTAGTATGAATTTGGTTTATGCAAGAAGTTATGGCTAAAGATATCACAGCAATGTCTGAAGGCATTTTAATCTACTACTAAAATGAAAGAAGTAAGACAATATAACTTATATGTAGTATGTATTTACATGTTATTTTGCTGACTAAAATTTCTAAATTAAGCTTATTTGAAGGTAGAAAGAGAACAGAGGATCTCCAAGACATAGTAAGTTGTTTAAGGAAAGCAATTTACAAGGGACAATATGTAGTGAATGGTCTCACTTATGTGAAAACATAAATGTTTATGTATATAAATGTATGGAAATGCATAGAAAGGGACCTGAGAAGCTCAAGACAAATGTTACAGAAGTTACCTCTGGGGGAGGGGGTTCTGGAATTGGGGGAGGTGAGGAAAGCCATGAGAGGAGGCAAGAAGGAGGGAGGGGAACAAAATCCTTCTGGACCGTTTGCCTATTTTCAAAGAAAAATGTATATGAATTACAGTAAAATAATACTAAAAGATTCCATCATAATAGGGCTGGCTGTATTATTCCTGGTAGAAACAGACAATAAAAACACATTAAAAGACATGGGAGAAATTCTACTTCATTGTCACATTTAAATATACTTTAATACTTACCCATGAGGAAGAGGTTTAAATATTCATTGCCTCCTAAATTTACAGAATTCAAGGAGAATGAGTAAAATCCCAAACTCCCTGTGAACCAAATCAGCCAAACAGTGAGAGTTCTTACTGCAATATTCCAGTCGCAAAACAGATCTAACATGTTGTGCTTCTTGCCTTCTGAGGGATTGCTACCAGCAGGGCCATTTAGATCCAGGGACAGAAGTTCTGACAGCTTACAGGAGCTTGCTCTATTCCACTTAGCTATCATATCGACTACTTTCTGTGCTTCTTCGTATCTTTCTTCTGAGAGAAGCCAGAAAGGTGTCTCCGGGAGCATCCAACAGCACAGAACAAAAGGGACAGTCACTATGGAGAGGACTATCTGGTAGAGCCACCAGGTCCTGACCAAGTAGCCCGTCAAAGCCACTGTCATTATTCCAACTGCAAAGAAGGAATGCACATGGATAGATGCCCATGTCCGAGACTTCATGCCAATGAATTCTGTCACATAGACAAATACCACCACGAGATAGCCACTTGCAGCCTGAAAAACAAAGGGGAGTGGTCCAGATTTAAGGTCACATTTCTAATTACTGAGGGGTGTGATCTCACTGCAGATCACACAGAAGCAAGAAAGAAAATGACAAAGAGTTGCTTTCTGAAACCCACATTGACTCTCCTTTGAGGAGGCAGCTCTTTCTTCCCCAGTCATATTTTGAGTGCCTTCTGACCTGAGGGGCTCATCTTCCGGCACTATATCAGACAATGTTCAGGGCTATTCATAAAGCTTTCCAGTAATGTATCTGGCAGTTCCAGTGCTATTCATAACGTTTTCACTGGCCAATTCTATGAGAAGTGGATAGCTCATTCCTTCTTCTGAGTCTTTCTTGATCTGGAAGCTCTGCTGAAACCTGTCCACCATGGGTGACCCTGCTGGTATTTGAAATGCCAGTGGCATAGCCTCCACTCTCATAGCAACATACAAGCCACTACAGTACGACAAACTGACAGACAAGTGGTAGAAGAACCTAGTAGTCGCTCATAAATGTTTACTTGCTTTACAAAAACAAACATTCTGATAGCCTTCAAATACTATCTACTGCCCATTAAGTTAAGCAGTAACATCAGTCTCCCTTCATTTGTTATGCTAGCTAATTCTTTCTCTTGAGTCCATTTCCTATTAGCTACCTCTGTCATTGGGTTCAGAAAATCCACACACTGTTGCCTGAATAATTCCAAAATACAATATACCTTGAATCCATTCACTCCCATCACCTCCACTGATAACAGTCTCTTCCTCATATTCATTCTGACCCCTCCTCACAAAGCAGCCAGAATGACCACACCACCCCTTCTGGGGATTCCCACTGCGCTTAGGATAATAGAGCAAAATCTTTACCATCCTATAAGGTCCTGACTGATCTGCTACCTGTCTCCATCACTCCAACCTCATCAGGGTACCTACCTTACTTCTTCGCTGTTGTTAGGTGCCTTCAAGTTGATTGGGACTCATAGCGACTGCACATGATAGAGTAGAAGTACTCCACAGGGTTTCCTAGGAGCTCTGGTGGCATAGTGCCTAAGGCATTTAACTGCTAACCAGAAGGCTGGCAGTTTAAACCCACCAGCCACTCATCAGAAGGAAGACTGGGCAATCTACTTCTGTAGAGATACGGCCTTGGAAACCCAAGGAGGGGTCGCTATGAGTCGTAATCAACTTGATGACAGTGGGTTTGGTTTGGTTTTGGTTATCTTTACAGGAGCAGATACCAGGTCCTTTTCCCATGGAGCTGATGGGTGGTCTCCAACTGCCAACCTTTTGTTTAACAGCCAAGCACTTAATCTTTCCACCATCAGGGCTCCAACTTCTTCTCCAGTCTCCAGACATTCTGACCTTTGATTATTTCTCATCTCAGAGCCTTCTCACCTGCTGTTCCTTCTGCCTGGAATGTTTTCTTTTTACCCATCACTTAAAACAAAACAAAACAAAACAAAAAATCTGACCCTCCAGATCCAGCGGGGACACTCCCCCACACACTGATATACTCTCATTGTCATAACTGTATTTATTTTTGAAGATGGATAATGTCTTGCTCTCCCACTAGATTATAGGGCTATGGAAACAGAGCCTGGGTTTGTTTTACTTAGCACTGCACTCTGTAAGCTAATCAATAAACGTGTTGAACAAATGAATCTGCATGTTCCATATTCAGAAGTCTACCACAAACACATTTGCCATGAAAATCAACAGAAAGACCCACAGAAAATTAAGGCCATATTTCAAAGAGGTATTCTGAGGGTGCTGCCTAATTTTCTCAGCACTGGAAACTAATACATGGTATTTTGCAAGACTGAGACAGATAATTTCAGAATTATCCCCGTAAGCCTTCCAGAACAGGGCCTTCAAACTCTCAGTGCCTATGGTCTCCTGAACCACTTGAACTATCAGTCATACCAGAGGTCTCTCTTGTCAAATCTCACTCTGCAGTTGCAGTGCAGTTTCCTCTTATTCTGTTCTCTGTGGAGACAGAACAGCCAGTTGCTATCTTTTGTATTAAAAACACTTCACATACTGGAATATACATATTTACCTTGTCCCAGTGCTCAACACCTTCAGTTCCCCTAGATCTTTGTTTTCAATGCATCCTCCCTATCTTTGGACAGCAATGTGCTTCCTACAAACCCATTCCAGCCATAAATGAAGACTCCAAAACTGAACCCCCCACACTTCACTCTCTGAGGAGAGGCCCAGTGATCTCTTCTTGGATTTAAGCCCTTGGCTTCTCTCTAGACCCCGCTATAACCCACCCTGGTTGAAGGGGCTCTTTGCATTCCTCCCTCTGCATTCAGCATGATCACAAGTCTTTCCCTCACATGAAAACTTCACTCCATTATCATTGATTAGTAGCCTCCAAACAAAATCACTGCTCCTGTTGGCTGGCAGTTTGAAGACCTATCTGGAAGCCTCACCAGCATGGAGGCAGCTTCCTTTCTCACTGGTTTGTTTTCAGTAATAGCTACCATTGTGAGGAGTGTCTACTCTATTCTAGGTGCTGTACCATGGATATCTACATTTAATCGCACCAAATCCTAATAATAACCCAATGAAGCAGATATTATTCTCTACAGTTTATATCTGGGAAATTGAGATAATGTGTTTGCCTGACGTTATACAACTAACATGTTAATCTATGACAAAGTTCATATTCATACTTATGCTCTTTCCTAATAAAATAAACTCTCTTCCTCCTCATAAAATAAAGGTCTAAGGCCCTCTTCTGTTCATTCGTACTGTGCATTCCACAAATGACTAGCAATACACCTTACTCACCTGTTTGGCGCATGTATACAGGGCTTGACTAAACCAATATAATTGCCCAGAAATAAAATTACGCCTTAGTAACTACAGGCTGTCTGACTCGACAGCAAACAACAACAACAACAACAACAAATTACAGGCTGTAGGCCATGTGTCAGGCATTGATTGAGTCAAACAAAATGTTTCTGCTTAGTAAGCAAAAATTTTTCATTTTAGTGAGTTCTGTTCTAAACATAAAGCTTTAACAACCCACAGAAAGACTTCTTCAGTGGCGTGAACAAAGGTTAGTCCTTGAATTCCTTCACTAGATCTTAAATGAGCAAACCAAAGAACATTATGGTTTAATATGGAAATGCTGCAGAGTTAAAGACGTAAACAATACAACTCACCATGGCAAGAAGAAAGCGTGTGGCCATGAAGCTGTAATAATCAAAGGTGAATGCCACTGCTATGCCAAACAAAAATTTGCCAATGCTTGTTGACCACAGTATAAGTCGTCTTCCTACCCTAAAAAAATAAGAATCATATAGTGGGAGAAGGAAGAACCGTTTGAGTATCTATTCCAATTCACAAAAGATTGTGTGTTACCTATATTCTTGAGAGTTCTGTCCTCCTTTTTCATGAAGCATCACTCAGAATGTATTTTTTAAAAAAACAAACCAAGCTCACTGCCATCGAGTTGAATCCAACTCATAGCAACCCCCATTGGGTTTCCAAGGCTATAAATCTTTTTTTTTTCTTTAATTTTATTGTGATTTGGGTGAAAGTATACAAAGCAAATTCATTTTCCATACAGCAGTTCACATATACTTTGTCTCGTGACACTGACTGCAATTTCCCACAATGCAACAGCTCTCTTCCCACTTCCTTCCCATAGTTACCTCTTCCCTGTGTCCTTCCCTCCCATGCACTCCTGCCCCCTGAGCTGTCTCCCGGTGCATACACAGCCCTTCTATTCTCCCATGACTGTTCTCTCCAAGGAGTGTACCTACCTACTGTAAACGTTCAGCTCATACACCAAGGCTATAAATCTTTACGGAAGTAGATCACCTCATCTTCCTTCTGAGGAGCAGCTGGTGGCTTGAACAGCTGACCTTCTGAGAAGCAGCCAAATGCCTTGTCCACTAAACCGCCAGAGCCACCTTATTCCAGTATGAGAAGCTCAATATGATGCAGTGTTTAAAGCATCCTGCTGCTATAACTATCAAGCCCACTAGCTGCTCTGTGGGAGAAAGACAAGCCAATCTGCTTCATGGAGATTTACAGCCTTGGAAACCAGGTGGGGCAGTTCTACTCTGTGCTATATGGTCACTATGAGTTGGAATCTACTCAATGTCAGTAGTTTGGTTTTTGGTTTTTCACTCCAGTATGATCTTGTTAACATAACTGATAACATTTTCAAAGAAAGACTATATCCAAACCAAGTTCACATTCACAGAGAAAAGGAAGGCTTAGAACTTCAACATATCTTTTAGAGGGACACAATTCAAAGCAAAACACATTAATCAAAATCTCAAGTTAATCAACATATTTTCCTTCCTCCAGGCCATACTAAAACCTTAAAATATTTTATAGCCACATACCCTCTGCTGACTTATTAGTTAATATTGTCTGGTATTCTAAGTTTATCTCTTATTATTATTATTAAGATTATAAGATAATATTTAGATTTACCCACAAAGTTATATTTCTTAATCTATGTTCCTTCTTACATTTCAGCCCTTCCATATAAGATTACCTTCCTTGTGCCTAAAACAAATCTTTTAAACTTCCTTTAGTGCGGGGTTTGCTGGTGGCACACTGGCTCAGTTTGTACTTGTCTGGAGAGACCTTTATTTCATACTTATTCTTGAAAGATATTTTCACTTGGTATAGAATTCTGAGTTGGCAGTTTTTTCTGGCGTTTGCTGGTTTTTATCTATCATATTTGAAGACATCCCTTCATTGTCTTCTGACTTCCTTACTGCCAAGTTATTTGTTGATTTAATTGCAGTATCTTAAAGATACTCTGTCATTTCTTCTGGCTGTTTTTAAAATTATCTCTTTGTTTTGATATTCTACAGATTTATGATGTGTCTACTTGTGGATCTGAGTTTTTTTGTTTCTTTTTTTTTTTTTAACTTCTGCTTTGGGATCACTAGCCTTTTAAAAAGCAAGGTCTCATATTTTGATTTGTTCCAACAATCCTCAAGCATTACTCCTTTGAATATTGTCTTTGACCCATTTCTTTCTCATCTTGTTCTGGTATTCCAATGAAATATTCCATGCTTTCTCCCTCTGCCTCTAGGAATTTTCATTCGCTCATATTTTCCATCTCTTTGTCTCTCTGAGCTTTACTATCGATCATTTTTTTCTGACCTATTATCCATTTCACTAGTTATTTTCTTAGCTCTGTCTGATATCTGGTTAAGGAGCTCTGGTGTTATAGTGACTAAGGCATTTGGTTCGAACCCACCAGCTGCTGTGTGGGAGGAAGATGAGACAATCTATTTCCATAAAGATTTACAGCCTTAGAAACCCAATGGGGGTCAGTATGAATTGGAATTGACTTGATGGCAGTGGGTTTGGTTTTTTTTTTTGTTGTTGTTGTTGTTTTCTTTTTTTTTTTTTTTTTTTTTTTGAGTGGGGGAGGATATATTGTTAAAACTATCTATGAAGTTTGTTAATCACTTACTTTGGTTATCATTTCTAGATGTTTGAGTTACTCAGAAAACTCACTGCCAAGGAATCAATTCCAACTCATAGCGACCCCTATTGTGTTTCCAAGGCTGTAAATCTTTATAAAAGTGGACTGCCTCATCTTTCTTCTGTGGAGCAGCTGGTGGATTCGAGCCACTGACCTTTTGGTTAGTAGCCAAATGCCTTAACCACTATACCAGTTAGTTATTCTTCAATCATATTATGTCTTTTCTTTTAGAATTTCCACTTATTTGTAACTATTTTCAAGTTATTTTTTATTTCTTTAAAAAATTGTAAGCACTGTTACTGTGTTATCTACCTGATCATCCCCAACTTTGATGTCTTTGTGCGTCTGCTGCTGACGCCTATCACTTCTGCTGCTTATCATTCACAGTGCATTTTAATCATGAATGCTTGCTTAATTTTCACAAGCCACTTATGTTCCTTGGAAAATAACTTGTGGGAATTCTCTTAGGCTTAGGATGATGGCAAGTGTAGGGTCTGTGATCTGATTTTACCCTATTTACAAGCTAGGAGTCCCTGGATGGTACAAACAGTTAATATGCTCAGCTATGAACTGAAAGGTTGGAGTTCAAGGTGACACAAGGACATCTCAGAATAAAGGCCTGGTGCTCTACTTCCAAAAGAAATTATCTATTGAAAACCCTATGGGACACAGTTCTACTCTGACACAGATAAGGTCATCGTGAGTCGGCATCAACTCAACAGTAACTGTTAGCAAGCTAATAAGTGAACCTGTTGCTGTTTAATGGATGCTGACAGAAGACACAAGATTCCTGGGTCAGAGACAAAGGACTTTATTACTTACAGCACAACAAGCAGAATGGGCATCACCTTACTGGTTCCCTTTGCCCTCAAGTCCCAAGGGGATTATGTAGAGTGCCCAGATGGACTCCTGCACGTGGAGTACAGGGCAGGAGCAGTGAACTTCAGGGATCCACTACTTTCATAGCAAGTAACAGGTAAGCCTTCTCCTTGTTTAGGACAGCCCTGAGAAATGGCCAGGGACTTGTGGTCTTTGTTCATCCAGCAAGATGTGTGGAGAAGACAAGAGACGAAGACTATCTCTCTCAACAACAAGATCTTCTGGAAAGGATACTAATTTCCTTCTTCCAAGGCCCTAATGTTACTACCATCTGGTACCATGTTAACTTACCTTGAGGTGTTTGTTGTTGTTGTTTTAGAGTTCCCAAGTGATGTTAATCTGAGCTACTTATCAAAATAAATCCTGGTTTGTGATTGTAACTTTTCCCAAAAGCCCAAACCCATTGCCATCGAGTTTATCCTGACTCCTAGTAACCCTACAGAACAGAGTAGAATAAGGTTTCCAAGGCTATAATCCTTATGGAAGCAGACTGTCACATCTTTCACTTGTGAAACTACTGGTGGCTTCAAACCACCAACTTTTCAGTTATCAGCTGAACACTTAGCCACTGAGCCACAGGGCTCCTTTATAACTTCTCAGAGACTTTAAAAAATATCAGTCCTTGTATCTAACAGAATGAGACAGGTACACACAAGTGTTTAATAAATGTTTATATGATGAGGTGTTCAATAAATGTTTATATATACTAAGCTTAGAAATGAAAAAGATTATTTTATTCCCATTAATCTATTCTGATATCCTTTTAAAAGCATTATTTAAATCCTACTTTTGTCATACAGTATAATGTAATTGCAAATATTTTTAGTTTCAAGTGTCAAGCATTCAACACATTTCACCAGAAAAAGCACAAGCGAAAATTTATGCAGTAGCCTGCTAAATGAAAATAGTAATACATAGCACCTATAAGAAGCCACTTCAGTTTCTCCTAATGTATTATAACATATAAAACACTCTAAAATAATTTTCTAAAGATTAAGAAAAAATCTACCATAAATAGTACAAAGATTTCACAAGGATGCTGTTTTGGTACAATAGTTTTTAATCTTCAGCTATAGTAGTACCCTATTCAATCCTCTACCTAACTGTTATTTTACAATTTTGAGTTTAAAGATCAATAATTTATTTATTCAACTAATATTAAGTGATTCTTAGGTACCAGAGAATCTTTTATCTTTCATTTTTATCCTGGGTTATTCTGTCTGTAATTATACTATATTACCAAAAGGCAGTGGTGATCAGTGGTAGCCTCATGGCCAAACAGTATGGCTCTCCAAACATGTAACTAATTTAAAGAGAATTTAGTTCACTCCTGCCTGGTTATGCTGTATGATAAGGATAGATGGACATACTGAAAAGATCTATTAACTATTAACCATTCAATTTAATATTTAAATAGAGTATGTAACTTGAAAAGAATGAAAGAAATGAAAATAGCTAGGTAAAACTGTGTATTTTAAGGAGAGAAAATTAATCCTTAATTAATGGAGTCCTGCTTACTATAACCTTTCATTTTCCTCAGGCTTAATGAACATCAACACCATTAGTGTTGACTTTAAATTATCATCTCTAAAGCCTGTCCTAGAAGCTCAGGTCGCTTAGTGCCTAAGGCACTTGACTGCTAACCAGAAGGCTGGCGGTTCAAACCTACCAGCTACTCCTCGGAAGGAAGGTGGGCAATCTACTTCTGTAGTGATACTGCCTCGGAAACCCAAGGAGGGGTTGCTATGAGTCAGGTCCAACTTGATGGCACATAACAACAACAACAAGGCCTGTCCATGGTTCTAGGACCTCATCTGCCAACAGCTTCCCTTACACTTTCAGCTTTCTTTCTCTAGAAAGTGTGAACTTCCTACTTCCAAACTCTCCCACAAGAGAGCACTAAGTGGCCTCCGACAGTACCACAAGCAGTTCTCTGGGCACTGACTCCCTCTCAGTCTAACCAACTCCCGCTCCTCATCCCCAGGCAGAAACAAAAGGAAAAAGGTTACCGTCTGCGTAAATCCTGTGACTATCATTTCCCAACCAGAAGCATTCTTGCTACCTGACCACCTCATCTTTACCTCTTTGACTTTTAAAGCCAAACATTCAAATATTTAGTACCTAATTTCTTTAACCCATGCACAGCAGAACGTTCTGCTGTGCATGGGGTCGCAATGAGTCGGAAACGACTTGATGGCACTTAACAACAACAACACAACAATTTCTTTAAGGAGCCCTGGTGGCACAATGATTAAGCACTCAGCTGTTAACCAAAGGATTGGTTGTTCATACCCCACCCAGAGGCTCTGCCAGAGAGAGATCTGGTGATCTGCTTCTACAAAGATAAAATAAAATGTGCTGCCATTAACTCAATTCCAACTCATAGTGACCCTATAGGACAGAGTAGAACTGTCCTAGATGCTTTCCGAGGCTGTAAATCTTTATGGAAGCAAACTGCCTCATCTTTCTCCCGTGGTGCAGCTGGAGGGTTTGAACCACTGACCTTTGGTTAGCAGTCCAATGCTTTAACCACTGCTCTAGCAGAGCTCTTTCTGTAAAGATTACAGCCTAGAAAACTCCATGGGGGCAGTTCCATTCTGTCAGATGGAGTCACTATGAGTTGGAGTCAACTCGATGGCACCCAGCCAACAGTCATTTCCTTTAACAGTGTCTTAGCAAGCCTCACCTTGAAGCCAGTTTCTACAGTAGCTTTTCAGGTTCTGTACCAGAACATAAGGATGAAACAGAACACTAGAGAACATTTTAAACTGCTAGAAGTAATTCCCCATCATACTCACTCATTTTCCCGTGTATTGGGTTCCTGCCACTAGGTAGCAGTAAGCAGAGGACTTGAGCAGTCAGGAAGGAAAGATAATAAGTGTCCTTCTGGGAGGAGAAAACCCAACTAACCAAAGCAAAACCAAGTAAAATCTGATTTACTTTATTTTTTAAATATGCAATTTGTCATGGGTTGTATTGTGTCCTCCAAAGATATTGAAATCCTAACCCCTATATCTGTGAATATGGCATTACTTGAAAGTAGAGTCTTTTCATATGTAATTAGTTAATATGAGGTCATACTGGAGTAGGGTGGGCCCTAATCCAACATGTCTGGTCTCCTTATTAAAAAAAGAGAGAGAGAAAAAAAGACATAGAGGGAAGAACGCCATGTGATGATGGAAGCAGAAAATGAAGTTATGCTGCCACCAGCCAAGGAACACGTGGATCACCAGAAGTTAGAAGAGACAAGGAAGGGTCTGATCTTCCCCTTGTGCCTTTGTTGTTGTTGTTAGGTGCCGTTGAGTTGGCTCTGACTCATAGCGACCCTGTGTGTAACAGAACGAAACACTGCCCTGTCCTGTGCCAGCCTCACAGTCCTTGCTGTACCTGAGCCCATCATTGTAGCCACTGTGTCAATCCATCTCATTGAGGGCCTTCCCCTTTTTTGCTGACCCTCCATTTTATCAGGCATGGCATCCTTCTCCAGGGAATGGTGTCTTCTGACAATATGACCAAAGTAGGTGAGATGAAGTCTGGCTATTCTCGATTCCAAGGAGCATTCCAGCTGCACTTCCTCCAGACAGATTTGTTTGTATTTCTGGCAGTCCATAGGACTTTCACTATTCTTTACCAACACTGTATCTCAAAAGCATCAACTCTTCTTCAGTCAGAGGGAACAATCAACCCCTTGAGGTGAGTACCGACAATCTGAATTCAGATTCCAGCCTCCAGAATTGTGAGAAAATAAACTTCTGTTGCTTTCTGCCACTCAGTTTATGTTAATTTGTTATGGCAGCCCTAGGAAAATACAGGCGGTTCCCACTATATGAATGTCCCACTTACCAACAACTCTGACTTGTGCTTTGACATTATGCAAATTGGCCCTCACTTTGAAATGACTGAACCACCCCCTACTCACAATATATTCATTACCATCACCTTCACTTGCAGCATGTACAGCTTTTAAATCATTGAAGAGGCTTCGAGCCTTTTCTTACACTAAAATCAGAACCAAACTCACTGCCATCAAGTTGATCCCAACTTACAGCAATTCCCACTGGGCTTCCGAGGCTGGAAATCTTTATGGAAGCAAACTGTCTCATCTTTCCTCCAGAAGGTGGCTGGTGAGTTCTGACCACTGTCCTTTTGGTTAGCAGCCAAATGCTTTAACCACTACACCACCAGAACTCCTTCTTGCACTAAAATAAGGCTAAATAAGAAGCATGTGTTCCTGTTCCAACATATCTACAAATTCAACTTAAAGACACACTTAGGAACAGACCTAGTTGTAACCTGGAGACTGTTTGTATAAAAGGTTATAATGATACCATGACAAAAAGCCACTCCTAGAAAGTGGGGCTTGGTGGGTTTTTTTTTTTTGGGGGGGGGGGAGGGGACAAGGCAAAAAGTGAACACTTTCCCTTTTTAATTTGTACATTTCTGAGTTGTTTGACTGTTACAGTGAACATATACTGCTTTTCAAATTAACAAAGATTTTAAATAGGAAAAATGACCGAAGCTAAATAAAAAGTTTTTCTTAAAATAATCAAGCATAGTCAAGGGAAGCAAACACATATTTCAAAACTACAAAAATAAAGTGGATTCCCTTCTTTCTCCCCTTGCCAGCAGATCATTATGGTGTGGTATCCAGTCTGCACCTTCTGACTTCCTGTATACTGTCCCCTGCTGACCGTAGGTAGCACCTGTACCTTACAGGTCATATTTGCAGTCCTTTGCTCAGCATGTACAGGTGTGTGCAGCAGTGGGGTGTTTTCACTACATCACCCAACACCTTTCCAAGCTCTCCGTGTTCCCTCCGCACACTCTGAGAGCTTAAGCACTGCACCATGAGGGCTTCTTGTGAAATACAGTGGATCAGTTAATTTGCCCAGTGGTACGATCAAGATTTAAACCAGATCAGTTGGCTTCATGGTCCATCCTCTCACCAGTATGTTATTCTGCCAGACAAGAGTCCCTGGACTTTGCAAACAGATCATTTGGCTGCTAACTGAAAGGTTAAGGGTTTGACTCCACCTAGAGTCTTCTCAGAAGAAAGACCTGGTGATCTACTTCCAAAAAATCAGCCACCAAAAACCCTATGGAGACAGCTCTGCCCTGACACACGAGGGGTCACCATCAGTTAGAACTGATCCAACAGCAACTGGTTAATTATTGGACAGGCAAAGAGATATTTAGAGACTGGAGTTTTGAATGTAATTCTCTATATCCCAAGAAAAATAGATAGGAAAATGAACCTCAGACTGATGCAACAACGCTAAACATTCTATTTTACCTGTCAGAAAGGTAGCCAAAAATCACTGCTCCCAGCAGGACTCCAAGCATAAACACAGGCTGAATCAGCTTTGCGAGCCATTCTCGGTGACAGACCAGAGCCCACTCAGTCACCACAGTGCTTTCCCACTTGCTCTGGTCATAGATGTAACCATCCAAGCATGGGAAGTCTCGCTTACTGCCACTGTATTCATATTCCAAGCGCAGGGTGTCTTCCCTCCAGGACCGGCGACACCCAGTGAGTTCCCAGACCGTGCCATCTTGCAGCTGCACAACAATGTGACCTTCCTGGCCTGGTGACAACAGGGTCCAGATGTCCTCCAACCTTGAACTAGAGAGATTGTGGACAAGAACCTGACTCACATTGCCTGGGGGCCTGCAGACATACGGTGGCGTGACTGCCATGAACACAGAAGCCAAATAGTGGATGCCACAAGAGATGTTCTGGAAGGCACATATAAAATAGAGGACTATCTGGAATCTGCAAGAGAGAGGAGAAGCTGGTTATATACCTGGCATAGCGGCTGAAAAAGAACATAATTACATATGTATTTTTTTTCCATTGTGTTTGGCTTAATATACATATAGATGGATAGATACAGAAGCAATTATAATATGTGTATATACATGGCTGACTATCTATACATATGTTGCCTGGCTCTGTCTGCTGAGAGGGCCTAGAAACAAAGACATTTCAGTAGCAATTAGCATACCCAGTGCTCAGATCTTGATTTATAAATTCCATTCTCCAATAAAAGGAACCAAGGCTCATTGGAAAAATGGCTGATTCTAGGACTACTCATTACAATTGCCATCAAGTCAAGTCTAATTCATGGAGACCCCATGTGTGTCAGAGTCAAACTGTGCTCCATAGGATTTCCAATGGCTTATTTTCTGGAAGCAGGTTACCAGGCCTCTCTTCTGGCCTCTGGGTGGTGTCAACCTTCCAGCCTTCCCAGTTAGCAGTCAATTATTCACACTACCCAGGAACTCCGATTCTAGGACCTTTGTTGTTGTGCTGTGCTGAGTCAATTTCGACTCACAGCAACCCTATAGGATAGACAGGATTGACCCATGGGGTTTCCTAGGCTATAACCTTCATGGGAGCAGATCACCAAGGCAGGCAAAATATAAGTCTGGAGCATCTTGCAGTACTAGAAAGTAAGGAACTGCTCAAAAAATAAAAGGATGGAGGTACGTCAACCTGAAAGAGCTCCCAAAAGCCAAAGATGGAACAATCTGAGCAACAAAATAATAGTATTGGATCATAACCCAAAGTATAAAACAAATATACATTAGTGCATATAAATAAAAAAGAATTATCAGATAAATAAAAATAAAAAGGAGAAATGAAATCTTTTTTACAGTAGAATCCCAATTAGCATGTAGATATTCTTCTTCTACAGAAGGCAGAGGTTAATTTAAGGATAGACTAGACTTAGTGACTCATTTCCAAAGAATAAACAAAAATCCTATTTCCCTCTGTTCTACTATGACTCATAGTGACACTATGACCC